GTGCCTAACACATAGTAAGTACTCAGTTAATAAATATAAGCCAAAATGAAATCATCCAATTTTCAAACATGTATTAAGTCTGTCATGTATAAATTATGCTTAGCTAACGATAAGCTGGCAGGCCCCATCCCCAATTGGGGTGGGGGGCTGATCGGGGGCCAGCAGCCTGGGGGAGGGGCCATGCCCCTGATCAGAGTGGGGGGGGGCAATCGGGGGCAGAGCTGCCTGGGGGAGGGGCCACAGGCTGATTGGTGTGTGAGAGGCCGATAAGGGGCGGGGCTGGCTGAGGGGAGGGGCCGTGGGAGGTTGGCCGGCTGGCCCCACCCCCGTAGGCATATAAGATCTTTGGTTAATCTGTTCCTGCCCTCCTTCCTCTCCCTTTCCCTCTGAGATTCATCAGTCTGTTCCATGTTTCCATGCTTGTGCGTTGAGCGACTGCCCACTGGTGGTTAGTGCGCGTCATAGCTATTGGTCAAACGGTTGCTTAGGCTTTCATATATATAGATAAAGCTGGGGGAAAAAAGACATTATGCTTAGCATTGTAATGAGGTGTCACTAGGTATTAAATTGTCCCCTTCAATCCTATATAATAAAAGCCTAATATGTTAAGTGTCCGACAGTTCTTTCAACCGTTCAACCAGTCACTATAATGCACACTGACCACCAGGGGGCAGACACTCTGACTGGTAGGTTAGCTTGCTGCTGGGGTCCAGCCGATCAGGACTGAGCAAGACGAGCCGGACACGCCCTGAAGCCCTCCGTAGTCCCTCCCCGGCCTAGCCTGTGCCCTCTCACAATCCGGGACCCCTCAGGGATGTTGGAGAGCCAGCCTTGGCCCGATCCCCACAGGCCAGGCCGAGAGAACCCGCCCAGTGCACAAATCCGTGCACCGGGCCTCTAGTATATGAAATAAAATGGATTGGTCTAAAAGAAACAACAGAAAAAGCATTGTAGACGCCAATGTGTTGAGTGAAAGAAATTAGACTGAGAGGCTAAATGATATTAAATCAGATCTTGCCCTTTTCCCTTCTTTTTTTCTCCTCTCCAGTGGATAGGCCATCTTATCTTACCCCTTCTCTCTAAAATAAAACCACAACCACAACCACAACCACATCCACATGCAACTTTTTTTGGCTAAGTGTTAATGCACAAGCTTATTGATTATGGACAAGAGGGCTAAAAATACTTTCAGGCAGAGATAACAGAACTAGGCTGTCCTTTAATGTAGCAAAGAAGGTGGATCATACCAACAATTTGCTTGTTACTGTAAGTAAGAAATGAAATATAATACAGATTTTAATAACTAAGATGCTGATTAGTGGAAATAAAGGTCAAGTCAGCTGTTACTGTAAGCTAACTCATTTTATCTCTATGTTCATGACCCCTTGATTTCTCTGGGGAGGGCGGAGGGGGTAAAGCACTGTCTTACAGAGATAACATATCAGAAAAAGTTGCTGCGAAGCCATCTTCTAACTCACTCATCTCCTACAGCACCTTAATAGACTCCTGACATGCATGTTTCATAAAACATACATGGCTTGAGAAAAACTTAGATTAACAGAAAACATTTCTCTACACAATTACAGGATAAACACAGAAATAAGTTCAAAAACAAAATATCAAAATCAAGAAACAATTTTTAAAAAGAGATCTGGAACTAAATATTGGCTTTAAAAGCCAATGTGCTTATTATAATAGTACTAGAAGTAGTACTATCATGGTGATGGGTGCAACTACTCCCCAGTTACTAAGATCTTACTCAGTGCCAGGGACAGAGTTCTTTATTTATTTCTCATTTAATCATTATTGTAACCCTTTGAGTTTGATAATAATATATAACCATACACTATGCCATTCAGGTTTACCTATTTCATTACATTTTACCTTAAAACAAATGAGTGTCAAAAAAACAACACACCCTTAGAAAATAACTTTAAAAATGGAGTGAGATGTTACTTTGAAACAGTATTTTTTCCCCTTAAACTTATGTCTTATACACACACACAAAATGTTTTCAGGATCACTACAAATGAGCAGAATTTAGTAGACATTACAACTCTAGTAAGCCTCCTAGAATAGCCCTTTGAAGTTGATGCAGTTTTCCTGTATTAAGTGAATTAGCCTAGATTCATTACTGCTAGAATAATCACTTTAAATTCCGATTAAGGGATATGCAGGGCCACTCCAGACAAACTGCCAAGTCAGCAGCAACCTCAATCTTCCAGGAAAGCCTCTGAGGATTCTATACTGGTAAATTCTATACTGGCTCTAGGGTAGGGGTGGGGAACAACAGGCTCTTAGGCAGTGTAAGGCCCTCAAAATCATCTGGTCTGGCCCTGCCAAGGCATTAGGGGTCAGTTAAATGTTTGACCAAATATAGCAGGCTAATTTTTAGGTTGATAATGTTGTATGGCCCTTGAATGATGTTATAAATATCCAAATGGCCCTTGGCAGAAAAAAAAAGTTCCCCCTCCCCTGCTCTAGGGAAAGCCCTTTTTATTTACAGTGTAGTTTATAGATAGTTTATCAAAGCAACTTTTAAGATAAAAGCAAATTTGAAGAAAAATATATTTTAAACTAATTTAAGAAAAATAATATTTAAAGCAACTCTCAGGAAGGAAAATAAAGAAATCCGATTACACTTTTAAAAATCTGATTTAAAAAAACTCTATAGTTTTGCTCTATTTTGATGGATACCAGGTACTATGTTCAAATATTAAATTCATTCTTCAGAGAAATCCTTAGCAATGTTTTTGTGATTAGTGTAACAATGACTTTTAATACACTTCGTATTTAATGTTCTCACATCTTTCTATGAATGTTCTTTAACTCATATCTGATTTAAAAAAAAAAAATCAATTTACTCCTGGGCTTATAAACCCCATTTTCTTTTAGTTTTAGTATCTACATTTCTAATGCCTCTTGATTATAAAAAAAATTACGTTAAGAAAAATGCTCAATAAAATCTTTTTAGAGAATATGATTTATTGCAGTTATCTGATTATTTTTTAAAGGCACAGTCTCAAGAAAATTGAAGGAACTTTTGATCTGTAGCTGGATAAAAAATTACACTTTTCAATGGTAACAAAGACACTATCTTTTGCATACTTGCAGGATACAGTACATAAAGATAACCTACCAAAAAACTCATTACAATATCAAATGGTAAATTGCCAATTGTAACAAAAAAAGGTGGATTTGCTTGAAAAAATAACAATTAAGCCATACTTTGGAAAACAGAATATTATAAGTGTTCAAAGGCAATTTCTACTATTAAGAACCCAACTTTCAAATTTATTTGTCAAGCAGAGGTAATGCCAAAGTTCCTTTTTTGCAGATTTAAATTTATTTAAATTGTTTAAAAGGCCAATTGCATTCTTATTAAGCACCATGAGCAGTTTCATGTTAAAGTCAGAAGTCTTGTTACTGCAAATCTGATCTTGAACAGAAAGAGTACTAGAAAAATGCATTACTATTATTCATTTGTTCTCAGAGAATGATAAATTTCAATAGTAGTCCATTAATACTCTAACAGGCAAGTCATAAAACTTTACATTAACTATTTTTTATATATTACTAGAGGCCTGTTGCACGAAGAGATTCGTGCAATAGGCCTTACCTTCCCCTGGCTGCCAGCACCGGTTTTCCTCCGGCACCCGGGACCCAGGCCTTCGCTCTGGCCGGAGCTGCCTTCAAGCCTTTGCTGCTCCGGCCGGAGCCTCCTTCAAGCCTTCGCTGCACCGCCCGGCTGCCCTGGGTTGGGTTGCACATGGACGCTCACCGCCCCAGGTCGCAGATAGCAGGCCCGGATGGCGGCAGGGCAGGCGGGATGGCGCTGTCCAGCCCTGCCTGCAGTATGCAAATTAGCCGCCATATTTGTTGGCAGTTAATTTGCATATTGTGCTGATTAGCCTATGGGAGGCATAGCGAAGGTACAGTCAATTACCATGTTTGTCTATTATTAGATAGGATTACTTGAGACAGATTCAATTCTCTCTCTCTCAATATATAAATAAATAAATAAATATATATATATATACACACACACACACACACACACACACACACACATATATATTTATATACTGATTTCAGAGAGGAAGGGAAAGGGAGAGATAGAAACATCAATGATTAGAGTCACTGATCGGTTGCCTCCTGTATGCCCCACACTAGGGATCGAGCCCACAATCTGGGCATGCATGTGCCCTGACTGGGAATCGAACTGTGACCTCCTGGTTCATAGGTAGACGCTCAACCGCTGAGCCATGCCGGCCAGGCAAGATCCAATTCTTACAGTTTATAAAATATAATTTATATTGCTTAAGATATATTTTTTGGTAAATACAATGAAATTAGTGAGCATATTAAAGTGTAGTAATTAAAAGCAGGGTTCAAATCCAAGCTCTTTCACTTATCTATAATAATAAAAGCGTAATATGCTAATTAGACTGGACATCCTTCTGGACGAAGCTGGGCTGCGAGGGAAGCCCGGGTCCTGGGTGCCAGAATGGAAGCTGGTGCTGGCAGCCGGGGAAAGGAAGGCCTACTCTTGCATGAATTTTGTGCATCAGGCCTCTAGTTAAGGATATATATGATCTTGGAGAAATTGCTTATCTTTATATGCCTGTTTTATCATCTATTGAGAAGAAAAAATAGTAGTACCTACCTCATAAGGCTGGTATGATGATTAAAAGGAGTTAACCTTTATAAAGAACTTAACATAATGCCACACACATAACTGTGTGCTATTATTATAGTTGTTCTGGGTTATCTTGTTGTATGCAACAAATAAAAAAACAAACAAACAAACAAAAAAATGCCAAATTCTCTTCTATTGTTGGAGCTCAGTTTATAAGTCAAAGGGGACAATGAAAATTGCTCCTTAGAGCCTAGTAATGATTTCTAACCTACCAGTTACCTGATTTATTATGATATTTTTACTTCCTTGTGCTTATAACAACTAAGATGCATAAAAACAGTAAGAACTGGAGATTACCTACCTGTGCAGCTCTTCTGTTTTGTCTTCAGTTGGACCTACAATTAGTAAACAATGGCGAAGGACAGCTGCCATGACACGGAACTGATGAGAATCACTCTATGGCACATAAAAAAGAGGGGAAGAAAAATTAGAGATTGAATGCCTTAATGAAGGAGTCTGGTACATCACTTCATCCCTGGGAGTGTATTATGGCCTATCTGTCCTTCAAAACAGTCATTCTTATGCCATACACGAAGAGGGCATAGTCATTTTCACATCAACAGCTACAGCCACCTCCAGAAATGGCTGAAACCAGTAGTTGTTGATCTAGCCGCTCCCTTGCAGGGGTGGGGAACCTTTTTTCTGCTAACAGCTATTTGGATATTTATAACGCCATTCAAGTGCCATACAAAATTATCAAATTAAAAATTAGACTGCTATATTTGGTCAAATATTTAATTAACTGACCCCTATGCCTTGGCAGGGCCAGACCAAATGATTTTGAGGGCATTATACTGCCTAACAGCCAGATGTTCCCCACTCCTGCCTTAGAACATGTCAGGCAAAGAGAGGCAGGATCAGCATCCATGCATTACCCACTCACTGTTTCACCTTAAGACCAATTCAACTAGGGATCTTTTGCATTTCTAGAAAAGTCTAGATTCTTTTGTTTGAGAGTATATTGTTCCAGTTACAAGTCATTGAAAAAGTTCATACAGATGTAATGCTATCAGATATTTTAGGAACGGGTTGTACACCCTTAATAAAAATATCTCTTAACTTTCAAAAGTAATGGATTAAAATCTATAATCTACCAACTTTATTTTAATGAATCTTCTTAATCTCCTAGTTCCTCCAAATCTTGCTGCTAAGTTTCCCCAGAGTCACCAGCAAGTGATGAAAAACAGGTGACCTAAGTTTAATCTATTTTTCCAATGTTTATTCATTGGTAGTGGTGTTAAAGACAGTAGGAAATAAGCTAAGCTCAGAATAATCACTTGGTTTACTACCTTATGTTTAGTGAGATCTTGGGTCACTACAATTTCTTTAATTATCTACATCAAGATCATATCTATCTTCTTCTAGAATTTTAGTAATTAAGACATAAAATTAGTGAGAATTATGGTAGCGATTCCAGATATACTATACTTCAGAAAGTCTACTTCAAAACTACTGAAATTAAAAAATTCAGTATATATATGTGTGCATATATATATATATATATGAATGATTAAAAATCTATATGAAGTGGAATATGCTCACTTATTATACACATATACCCTATATTCAGATATATAACTCAGCCCTTTAGGAAGAATATCTCTTATGAAATCTAACAAGCAGTAGGGCACACTTTCATTACTCATAAAGCAGATAACAATATTTTAAACATAACACCACTGTGGGTAGATGCAGTGGCATAATAGAAAAAGCACTGCACTTGTTGCCATGTGTTTAGGTTGTGACCTTAAGACAAATCATATAGCTTCTTTGAGCCAAAGCTTCCCCACATGCATCTCCGAAAACATGAGGTTGTTAGGGTTATGAAAGAATTAAAGAAGATGAAATACATGAAAGTGCTCAGTACTTTCCTTTTTTTATTTTTACGCTTTTATTGATTTTAGAGAGAGAGGAAGGGAGAGGGAGAGAAACATCAATGAAAGAGAAACAGTGATCAGCTACCTCCTGCATGCTCCTACTGGGAATCCAGCCTGCAACCTGGGCATGTGCCCTAAATGGGAATCGAAATGGTGACCTCTTGGTGTATGGGATAATGCTCAACCAACTGAAGGTGCTCAATACTTTCAATGAAACATTTGAAGGTGAGGAGCAAGAATGAGAGAGAAAGGAAACCAAAAAGTGAGATTGATAGAGTTGAAATGAGTGATACTGAAATAACTGTGTGGTGGTGGAACCAGGAAGAATAAAGGAGAAAAGGGACCAGTAGAATGCCAGAGACATGAAGGCTGGCAGGGTTGGAATGAATGCTGTCCCTTTTGCCATCCATCTTCAAATGCTTGAGTCGAAATTCTCTAATATGTAAATATACATTTATCCCAAGTTACACCAACCACAATGAAATGCATGCAAAACTCATCTATTAGTTAATTTAATCACATTTTCCTTGGTTTTGAAAATTAACTGGGAATTCACTTCCTTTTAACTCATTTTCCTTTATTCTAGGTATCACAGGCCTTTTGCAAAACTATCCTTTTTGGTTTTTCCATTATTTGCAACTGTAAACCCCAGATCCTACTTCCTTCTATCCCATTTCCTCCTATCCCAATTTTCATAACACCAATTTCCAAGTTGTACCCTGTATCTGCCATGCCCTCTTTTATAATAAATCCACTAAATCCTATTTCTCTACTCAAAACAACTACTGATGTCCCTGATTGTTAGCTCCACTCTTGGCATCGGATTCCTTTTGAGACTCTAGGTCTCAACTGAAATCTTCTTAGAGAAGACCCTTCTTTGACCACCTTATCTAAAGTAGATTCTTCCCTTCATTATTTTCTATCACTACATCTTGTTAGAATTTTTTTCATGAAATCATCATTTGTAATTCCACATGATTATATACTTGCATATACATGGTCTTCTCCACTAACCTATTACCTTCACAAGTTTAGAGGGCATGCATATAATAGGTGTTCAATAAATTTTTAAAATTTAGTGATTTTGAGATAGAGGAAGGGAGAGAGAGAAACATCAATTTGTTGTTCCACTTATTTATGCATTCATCTATGCATTCTTGTCTGTGCCCTGACCAGGGATCAAACCCACAACCTTGGCGTATTGGGTTGACGTTCTAACAAACTGAGCTATTTGGCCAGGGCTCAATTGTTTTTAATATAAATGGTAAAAAAAAAGTGCCCAAATTATAAATGTACATCTAGATCAGTTTCACAAAATGAGCACATTCATATAATTAACACAAAAATGATGCAATGCTAAGATTAAGAAAACCAGAATTCCCTCTTGGCTCCTTCCAATGATATTCCTCCACTACTCAAGGGTAATCCTAATGTCTCACATCACAGGTTTAGTTTTGTTGTCACTAAACCTTATATGAATGGAATCATAAAATATAGACTCCTTTGTATCTGGTTGTGAAATCCATCCATGCTGTTGCGTTGTAGGTAGTTGTTCAGTTCATTGCTTGAGAGCAGTGCTATTTGCAGTGCAGTTTGTGAACCACTGCTTGTCTACACCGTTTGCCACTGATCTGAAAGGCCATGAGTACGTACGGAAGGTGCATGTGAGCATTTATAAATTTCTGAGCAGTTTGACATTGTGTGTAATATATTATACAAGAGTTTCATTCTGAAAGCTAGGGGGGAAATCTAGTCCTTTGCTACAGTTAGGTTAAGAAAACACTGCTGCATACAGTGAATACATTACAATTTACTTATCCATGCTACTCTTGATGAACATTTGGATTATTTCCAGGCTGGGGTTATATTGAAGAGTGCGGCTATGAACATACTTCTTTACATGTCATTTGGTATGCTGGGTCACAGGGCATATACATATGTGAAGCTTTAGAGCAGCGGTTCTCAACCTGTGGGTCGCGACCCCTTTGGCAGTCGAACTACCCTTTCACAGGGGTCGCCTAAGACCATCCTGTATATCAGATATTTACATTACGATTCATAACAGTAGCAACATTACAGTTATGAAGTAGCAACGAAAATAATTTTATGGTTGGGCCACAACATGAGGAACTGTACTTAAACGGCCAGAAGATTAAGAACCACTACTTTAAAAGGTACTAACTCCCAAACAGTATTTCAAAGTGTTTAAACCAATTTATACTCTCACCAGTTTTCTACAGCTATGCCGACACTTGGTATTGTTAGCCTATTTAATTTGTTATTCTTGTGCGCAGTGTCTCATGGTTTTATTATGCATTTTCCTGATGAACACCTTTTCATATGTCTTTTGGTCATCTGAACAGCTCTTTAGGTAAAGGGCCTGTTCAAGTCTTTTGACTATTTTTCTATTGGGTTGCTAACTTTATTTGTGTGGATTTGTAGGAGTTTCAATGTATTCTGGATGAAGTCCTTTACTGCATATATATGTTGCAAATATCTTCTTCCACTGGTGGCTTACCTTTTTACTTTCTTCTCTTGATGGACTCAATTGTCAGTTTCCCCTCTATGGTTTGATCTTTATTTTGTCCTGTTTTAGAAATCTTTGCCTATTTAAGAAATGTTTGACTTGTTTAAGATAAAGTCATGAAGATAATCTGTTTTCTTTAAAGAGCTTCAATATTTTGCCTTTTATATTTAGTTCTCTTATCCATATTGAATCAATTATTTGTATCTGGTACAGGTAGAGATTCACATTTATTTTTTTCCATACAGCCACACAATAGCAATTTATTAAAAAGCTCACCTTCCCTCCACTATACTTCAATGTTACCTATATCATAAATCAGTTGACTGCATATGTATAGGTTTGTTTCTAGACTTTTTATTCGACTCCACAGTCTAGGTCTCAACAATATTTGTTGAATGAGTGTTATCATTTAAGAAGTATTATATAGCAAAGGTTAGAGTGAACACTAGTTCCTTCTGTTTTTTGTTTTTTTTTTAAATCCTCAACCGAGGATATTTTTCCATTGATTTTTTTAAAAATATATTTTATTGATTTTTACAGAAAGGAAGGGAGATGGATAGAGAGTTAGAAACATCGATGAGAGAGAAACATCAATCAGCTGCCTCCCACATAGCTACTGGGGATGTGCCCACAACCAAGGTACATGCCCTTGACTGGAATCGAACCTGGGACCCTTCAGTCTGCAGGCCGACACTCTATCCAATAAGCCAAAGCAGTCAGGGCTCCATTGATTTTTAGAGAGAGTGGAAAAGAGAGAGAGAAAGACAGAGGGAAACATCGTTGCGAGAGAAACACATCAATTGGTTGACTCCTGCATGTGCCCAGACCAGGGCCTGGGCCGGGGAATAGCCAGCAACTGAGGTACGTGCCCTTGACCAAAATCGAACCGGGGACCGTTCTGTCTGCAGATCGACGCTCTATCCACTGAGCTAAACTGGCTAGAGCCCTACCGGTATTGTTGCTTATTTTGCTGTGTGATTTTTCCATACACA